ATAAAACTATATTCACATATGCATATATATATTTATTTATATGCCCACGCCGTCTGGAGCTTATCATCAACTTGACAGCATGATGATTAATCAAAATTAATGATTTTTCATGCAAAATTAATATTTTAACAAAATTAATTATTTTTTTGATCAGCTGATATGCAGCAGCGCCAATTCGTTTATTATTTTTATTTTATTTAATCTCATTTAGAGTATATTTTTAAATTTAGTTTTACATTTTATCATTATTATTATTATTATATGTTACAAATTTTATTTTTCTTCTTTTGGAATATTGGAATGATATTAAGTCTTTACTTTAAAGATATTGAAAATAGTTAAGTACAATTCTAGAGTGAAAAATCACTATAGTTTTTCGATTAATTTTAAATACAAATATTATTGGATGATTTTTGTGATGTAATAGGAATTTTTTAAAGATATATCGCGGATACTGGGTGGGTTGAGAAATTCTTCTTGATTTGTCAAATTTGGATATGTATATTAAAATATAATACAGAGCTTATAATCTGTGGGGTTTGCTTATTCCAGTTCTAAGAAAACAAATTTTAAAGATTAGTAAAATAAGGAATGCACTTTTGAGTAAAGAAAAAACCCTAAAAACCTTAACAACCTATTTGAAAATCTTTTTAGGCGTAATTTAGCTGATTCCATTTAATTTGGAGAGCCTCAGAGGATATCCTATGCCAAGTATGAAGGATATATTTGCTTATATACCTCTGTATATATGATAGCTGTAGACTGCTCACCCTCTCCAGAACTCCAAAAACACTCCATGTCTAACGGTCTTAGTGTAATTACCTGTTAGCTATCTTTAAAAATTGTGATTTATTTCATTTCAAATACACTTATGTGGAACACTTTGGATGCTGCGATGAGGCCGCAACAAATTTCTCACACACCTGAAATTTTGCTCAACCGGATTTGGATGTGACAATTGTAACGGTTCAGCAAGATACAGGCGCGAATGAAAGATGCCGGCTAAGGATAGCTCCCAAATAGTAGCACTGGTTCGACTTGAGTTATATAGTTATTTATCCAACTACTCCTGGCAACGCTCGAGCCTCGACTGATGCACAGACCGCACCAACAGCCACTAGGTAGCTTCCCGGAATGCCGTTTGCTCGACTAACTAACTAACTGCTCGTCCGACCGACTATATACTGTATGAGAAGACTTTGATGCCGTTTTTTAGTTTTTATTATATTCGTTTTTTTTTTTTTTTTTTTTTTTTTTTTTGTTCTGCTGTCCAGGGGAGTCGACATTAGAATTAGACTCGGAACAAAAGGAACAACAATGCCGGCTGGCCGCTTGGTTGGCTGACTGACTGATTGGGTGGGTCAAACGAATGTTGCAACAGCGGCGCATGCTTTCTAAACGCCACCAATTCACTCGCTGTGGTTGTTGTTATTGTTGTTGTTGTGGGACGCACCTTACTAGTACAAATAGCCAGATAGAGACGGAGCGACAGCTGACACCAGCGAACGCGCCTTTTTAATGAGCTGACCCCACCTAGTCGCTATGCGTATAACTAACTATCTCTGTATGTACAATATATATACACACACATTAGAGCATCGAGCTAGCAGTGTCCATAGCTCTGGGGGCGCCACCTGACGCGCTTCAGTATGTGTGAGTGTGTGTGTGTTTGTGTGTGTTGGCTATTCAGTTCCCATAGGGCGGGGGTGTCTTTGTGCCTTGGTTAGCATATAATGTAAACGTTTATCATTGGACAGCCGTGTATATATACAAATATATATGTATTCATGTACATATGTATGTCCCGTCATATCAAGTTTATATGTATTTAACTAAATGGGTTAATGACTTGGCGAATGCATTCTCTAATTAAATTTGTATGCCAGATGCATTTGTAAGGTGTCATATGGTGATAATTCGCAACAGCAGCTTAATTGGCCAATATTTATTTATTTATTATTTATTTATTTATTGTTACAAAGAATTAGTTCTAAATAACAAGTTGTAAGCCAGAGCAACGAAGGTCTTCGGGCAATATTTAATATATCTAAAGTACAATAAAGAGGAAATCTTAGTAATAATTACAAAAGTTTCTAACTACATAGAAAGTAAACTTAATCTAATAAAT